GAGGAAAACACAAGGGGCTCATCAATAATGAGGGTGGGACAGGGAATGTAAACCATCAAATGCCCAAACTGGTTAAAGAAACTACAGAACATTAGGCAGACATTAAAAACCGTATGTCCACAGACTATTTAACATTGGAAAATGCCTCTAGCTGAATATTAAGTAAAAACCTAGAATATAACCTCTTAACATATATTCCCAATTTTGTAAAAAGAGTCACAATGTTGTGTATTATATAAAATATAAAAAATACTAGAAAATGACACATTACAAAGTAGCTATCTCTTGATGGGGGGCAAGATTAAATGCAATTTTAAAATTTCTTAATACTGTCTCAAATTTTTACTTTTGCCTAACCATTCTAATAATTGGAATGACGATGTTTCTTAGACCCTAATTATTTGCTAGCCTTATGCTTGCATTCCCTCTAATATTCTTGCCAAAATGTCATCTGACCACTGCTTGGAGTCCTCCAGTGATGGTGAGCTCACTATCTTAAGAGATTTTTTTGGGCACTTCTTCCTCATGAGATGTGGAAACTTAGCTTTAGCTTCTCCCTACTGCCCCCGGTTCTGCCTTTTGGAACAACAGAGAACAAGGCTGTTCCTCACACCCCTTGACAACAGAGGTTAGAAGGCAGTGGCCAGGCTCCAGGCTGAGTCCAAGTATGTCCTCCATCAACCTTTCAACATTAATGCTCCCCACTGCATCCTGGCTTGCTTTGAAAACACTCCACGTGTGATGTCCTTAAAGCAAAATTCTTCTATGTCTCTCGATGACAGTACCCACATTAGCTCTTAAAGGTGTATCTATCACCTGCCAGTCAGTGTGTTAGGAACTCTATTACACAAATTCTTCCACTGAATCCTAAGAACAACCCTATGACACATGAGCTATTAACATACCTATCTTATAGATGAGGAAACTGAGGCATGGAGAAGCCAAGTCACTTCCAAGGTCACTTAACGGATTCTTGATGGAGCCAGGACTGAACCAACACCTAGTCAGGAGACTGGTGTGGTTGGATATGCAAATGTTTGCCAAGTTAAACAAATGAGTAAGGCAGGTGGCATGAGTGGGCTGTGATCAATTGGCTGCTAATTTGAAGGATGGCAGTTTGAACCTGCCCAGCTGCTTTGTGGAAGAAAGGCCTGGCAAACTATTTCCATGCAGATTACAGCCAAGGAAACCCCATGGAGCAATTCTACTCTGTAACACATAAGGTCACCATGAGTCGGAATCAACTTGATGTCAATGGTTTACTGGAACCTAATTCTGAAGCCCAAGTCCCTAGCCTTTGTGGTCTTATTTTAGAGTTATTTATACCTATGCCCATCTCTTCCACATCATTCACCTCTGTGTCTCTCTTACCTTATCTGGTACCTGGAGGAGGTCATGAATAACTCTGAATGACTGAACCACTGAGTAACTGTGGCCTGAGGCCTGGCGTTGAGTATAGTATTGAAATAAGTTCTCTGATGCCTTGCTCAGGGCTACAGCACTGTGGCCAGAGTTGAAGCTCTAGGTGCTAGGGACATCACTGTGCGGAGTGACCACAGTGGGGATCATAAAGCCAGAGAAACCTGCAAGGCTGGCTTCACAGAGAAAGACTACACAGAGTTAAACTCCAAGAACATTCTGGAAGGAGAGAAGCTGCTCAAAAAGGTAGGGGAGCATGGAGGGGCCTTGAGCCTGGAGGGGCCTTAGAGATTTTAGCAGTCATCTCCTTGTCCCTAGCCAAGGTAGCCTCCTTGGTGAGCTCCACTCTCCAAAATGAACCCCATCATACTGTGCCTGATTTGGCTCAGCCTTAGCTCAGGCTGTTCCCTCCCCCCTTGGCTGGGTAATTCCTACCAAACCTTCAATATACCAAGAAGCTGTCCTGTAGCTCTCAAAGCTAAATATGGGCTCCTGTTGCACCCTGACTAACTCCTCACACAGCTCTTATCCAGTCCTCACTCATTCACTCAAATATGTACCTGCTTTGGGCTCTGCAGAAGGCACTGGGTGGAAATGCAAAAAACTAGCCTCCAATGCACAGGTTTGACACTGACTAGCTATATGGCTTTGGACACAGTGCTCTCAATGAGCCTCAGTTCCTTCACCTGTAAAGTGGGGAGCGTTCCACAGCTCAGCCTCGCTCTCAGGATTTGTGTAATACTCCACAAAGATAAGGATGTGAATGTACCCTGTAAGCTGCCACTCAGAGTGAGTCACCATTACCGTGACCTGACCTTCATTTTTATACATCCTATTCTCAGAGCGGGAGCTCTGGTAGCATAGTGGCTAAGTCACTTGCCTGCTAACCAGACAGCTGTCGGTTCAAACCCACCAGCCACTCCTCGGAAGGAAGGTTGGGCAATCCTACTTCCGTAGTGATACTGCCTCGGAAACCCAAGGAGGGGTCGCTATGAGTTGGGGCCAACTTGACGGCACATAACAACAACAACAACAACAACAATTCTCAGAGCACCCATAGGGCAGAGTAGAACTGCCCCATAAGGTTTCCAAGGCTTTTAGCTAGCAGCTGAGTGCCTTAACCACTGCACCACCAGAGCTCTTTCAGGGCTCCTTAAACCAAAACAACCAAACTCACTGCCATTGAGTTGGTCCCGACTCATAGAGACCCCTCTCCTTGGGTTTCCAAGGTGGTATCTTTATAGAAGTAGATTGCCAGGTCTTCCTTCAGAGGAGTGGTTGGTGGGTTAGAACCGCCAGCCTTCTGATTAACAGTCAAACACCTTAGGCACTACACCACTGGAAGGCTGAAATTGGGAAGAGCTCTGGTGGTGTAGTGCCTAAGGCACTTGACTACTAACTGGAAGGTTGGCAGTTCAAACCCACCAGCCACTCCTTGGAAGGAAGATTGGGCAATCTACTTCTGTAGAGATGCCTCGGAAACCCAAGGAGGGGTCGCTATGAGTCAGAGACCACTCAACGGCACAAAACAACAACAACATCCTTGAGGGATGGAGACAAGTATGAACTCTAAACAAAACCAGCCATGTAGGAGCAGGGACCTGACATTGGTGTGGCAGTGAAGAAATGCCAAGTGGCTCAGAGGCAAAGGGATGAAGGCTTTTATGCCAAAGGGCATTGATGCTATCAAGAAGCCACCGGCAGCACAGGGCAAGGGTGGAGATAAGGACATTAGGCTAGGGGAACAGATATCTAGAGTTTGCTGGAAGTTGCTCTTTAGCCTCAGCCAAGCTGCTTCCCTTCTCGAGGCTCTAACTTCCATCTGTACATTGAGTGAATCAGCCCAAGTGGTACCCAAGGTCCAGTCCAATTCAGTCTGTGCTGGCTTTACATGCCCTTCATAGCTTGAGTCAGGGAGGTCCAATTCAGGCTGTGCCAGGGAGAGACCGGGGAAACTGGTGAGCCTCTCAGAAGGGCCAGAAGGCATGGGGACCCAGGCTTACTGCGGTTTCTTCTTCCGGCTTCTGGAAGGGTTGGGCCTGAAGCAAGCTCCTCCCCAGTTTCCTCTGGGTAGGTGGAATCAACCCTTGGCCCACTTTGCAGATTGAGAGGTTGACACAGGTATAGAAAACACAGGCTCTCAGATCTTTAGACACCATCCTGTTTGTTCCCTTCTCCACATGAGGGGGAAACTGAGGACCAGAGAGGGGTAAGAGATTATAATCATCATGTAGCATGTTTGTGGCAGAGCCAGGACTTAAACCCAGCATTGATGTTCTCTGTCACCAGCTTGGTTACAAGTCTCAGGCCAGGCTCTGGTTGATCATCCCATCCTCTGTTAGCTCGAGCCAAGCCTCAGATTTCCTTTTGGAGCCAGGGAAGACATGAGGTATTCTGGGTCTGAGCTCCATGTGATTTTTAAAATGGGAATAAAGGAGGAGCAGGGCAAGCGGGTGGGGAGGAGGTGGGCACAGTGCTTACTACCAAAACTCATGTCCCTGGATGAGGTACAGGGAATAGAATCTTACAGGTTGGGGATCATACCGGATAACCAATAAACCAAAAAGCTTCTGCTTAGGGCACCAGCAAAGCAGGAGCAGTGAGAAACAGAAATTCAACTTCAATACACAATTACTAAATATTGCCACAGTTTGGGGCCTCTCAGGTCTTGAAGGGGACTAGTCATAAAGTTGTAAGACCATCTCATCCCACCTGTCTGGCAGGTAGCAGGTATAGGGAAAAGGGCCAGCAGTCTGGGAATCTGTCTTAGCTACTAGAGGACTTGCAGGTCTGCCCATCCTCACTCTCCCCTCAGGAGGGTGTCCTCCTGGCTTCAGGCTCTGACCTTCTGGACCCGAAGGGGCAGCTGGTCCCACTGCAAGAAACCTGAGTACAATCTCTAGGGGCCTAACCCAGCTCTGAGGCCCCTTGGGGGAGGAATAGAAGGGAGTGGAAGGTAGCAGAAGGCCATATACCTTCTCTGTCTTTGGCCCCTCCCAGGTACCCCAGGATAGTCCTAAGCGCCCCTGCTGCCTAAGCCTAGAAGGGGCCCTAGAACAGCGCTTCTCAAACTTTAAAGCTTAAAGAAATCACCTGGACATTTTGTTAAAAGATAAGCTTTGTTGTAGCAGGTCTAGGGCAGAGCCTGAGGGTCTGCATTTCTGACAGGTCCTAGGGGATGTCTCCGCTCTAAGTCCGTGGACCACTCCGATAGTTGCAGGGCCTCTGAACCAGAGGGAAAGCCGAAGGAAGGCCCAGAGAGGTCAAGTCACATGTTCATGGCCACACAGCAAGCGGCCCCAAGCTGAAGGAAGAGGGCACCTGCCATTGACGCTAGACATTCTCTCACCCGCGGCACCCGGAATCTGCTGCCATTCCCCAGCCGGAGGCCGTGTTTGTAAACTCCGCTGCCCGCGCGGCTCAGCCTGAAGCCGCGCAAAGAGCGCCGCTGGGCAGTTCCTTCTCCGCCTCAGTGCCGGCCTCTCTCTATTTTCGGTTCGGGGCGCCGAGGGGCCCCAGACGCGGAGCTGTTCCATGCCCCCCCTCCTCCGAAGGCAAACTTCTCCGTCAGCGCCCTTTACCTTTTTGGGGGGTTTGCAGCAGCTCAGCTTGCTGCGTCCGCAGCCCATCCTCCTCCGGGGGCTCCCGGACGCCGCCTTCTAACTCCGGGGCCCCCAAGGGACCCTGCGGTCCCAGCCCCACTGCGCGTTCCACGCCCGCCGGCCGGGGCTACCGGCGAGACCCTGAAACTGAACCTGGAAGCGCCGACTTCAGCTCGAGCTGGGGCGGCCGTGTGCCGTAAATACCCGAAGAGCAGGGCCTCCACTAAACCCGTGGGGCTCTCTGCGCCGCCGGCCCTAGGGCAGGTGACCAGAATCTGACCTCAGGTCTGGGTAGAAAAAGTCAGTATGGTCAACAGATGCTTCTCTAGGCCTTTAGCTGAGAAAGGGAGAGAGGGAAAAACTAATTAAAAACAATTAATTACTAAACACAATAGCTACTATTGAGGGCTATTTCTGTCCCAGCTGTTTTACACAAATTATTTCTATCTCTTGCCATATCCTTTCAACAAAGGTATTATTATTTCCCTCATTTTACAAGTGAAGAAAATGAGAAAGAGTTGTGAAGTCATTTGCCTAAATTCAGACAGCTAGTAAGTACCAAATCCCAGAGAGGACTCAGCTAGCTCTAACTCTAGAAACTAAGCTTCAAAATATACATCATTACAAGTCAAATCATTATTCTAAGCTTAATCACAATGGCACCCCACTTCTGGGCAGGTAGTTCTTCCCAGGAAGTTTTCTTTTTCACCATAACAACCTTGTGAAGCAGTCAGGTTAGATGCAATAGCAATAAGGGACAGTAAAATGCCAGTGGCTGGGAGAAACAACTTTTAGTTACCCTCACTTTGTTACTAGCTGGGATTTCTGGGGGTGAAAAAGACTCCTAATGTTGAAAATCAGGGTGTGTTTGTATCTGTGTGTGAATTAGGAAATTAAAGCAAAACCCAGATGAAAGGGAGTGTATTGGTTTCTTCTGGCTGACAAGGTATCACAAGCTGGGTGGCTTATAACAAAAGAAATTTATCCTCTCACAGTTCTGGAGGTCACAAGTTCAAATTCAAGGTAGTGATAGGACCATGCTCTCACTAAAGGCTCTAAGGGAGAATCCTTAGATTCTCTTAGTGGCCCCAGGTGTTCCTTGGCTTGTGACGACGTAACTCCAATCTCTGCCCATGTTTTCAGATGGTCATTTTCCCTCTGTGTCTCTGTCTCTATGTCTCCTCTCTTCTTATAAAGATGTCAATCATATTGGATTAGGGTCCATCACACTCCAGTAAGACCCCATGTAAGCTTAATTGTAATTAACTCCGCAAAATGGTATTTTCAAGTAAGTTCACATTTATGAGTACTGGGGGCTAGAACTTGAATATAACTTTTTTGGGGACAAAAATCAAACCCATAATGGAGACTTACAGTTATGAGTGGGGAAAGAATAACAGGCCACACACAAAAACGTTTCCCCTCCCTAGAGAACCATGGACTGCCAGAAGAAAGAACAAATCTGTCCTGGAAGAAGTACAGCTAGAATGCTCCTTGGAAGCAAGAATGGCCAGATGTCATCTCACCTACTTTGGTCATGTTGTCAGAAGGGACCATTCCCTGGAGAAGGGTATCATGCTTGGTAAAGTGGAGGGTCAGTGAAAAAGGGGAAGGTCCTCAATGAGATGGACTGACAAAGTGGCTGCAATGATAGGCAGAGTCTGAGGCTGGCACAGGACCAGGCAGTGTTTTGTTCTGCTGTGGATAGGGTCACTATGAGTAGGAGCCTACTTGATGGCACCTAACAATAACAACGCCAGAGTATAAGACCAATTGCAGAAGATTAAAAGGAAGGAGCTCTGGTAACATAGTGCCTAAGGCACTTGACTGCTAACCAGAAGGCTGAAGGTTCAAACCCACCAGCCACTCCTCGGAAGGAAGATGGGGCAATCTAGTTCTGTAGTGATACTGCCTCGGAAACCCAAGGAGGGGTCGCTATGAGTCGGGTCTGACTGGATGGCACATAACAATAACAATAAGAAAGGAAACAGGTGTTACTAGGTTTTTAGAAGGGAAGATAACGTAGAACTGTGGGTTCACAAAACGTAGTCTCCAAACAAACAGTGTCAAGGAAACTTGTTAAAAATGCCCTCTCAACTCAAAATCATTTGGAGAAAAAAAAAGGGGGACGGGAGGGGACCAGATTTGCTGGTCCAATAGAGCCTGGTGGAACCACTGAGACTATGGCCCCTAGCTGCCCTTCAGGTCTGGAACTGAACCTACACCCGTGGTTTCCAGCCAAATAAAAGACAGGCATAGGAGTTGAACATTTACCTCAGGTAGATACACTCCTTGGAGAGAACAATCATGGGAGAAAGAAGGGCTGCTTATGCACAGGGAGACAGCTCAGGGGGCAGGAGTGCATGGAGGGATGGACACTGGGAAGGGGTAACTATGGGGAGGAAGTGGGAGGGGAGCTGTTGCATTGTGGTAAACTGTGGTCAATGTCATGAGACAAAGTGTATGTGAACTGCTGTATGGAAAGTGACTCTGCTCTGTAAATCTTCACCCAAATCACAATAATAATAATAATAATAAAGCCCTCTCACACTTACAGATGTAAACTCCATGGATGGAACCCAAGAGTCTATAACATAACAAGTGATTCTGATTCACACTCAAGTTAGAGAACTGTAACTGTAAGATATGCTTCACAGGTAAAAAGGAAAGTGTCTAGTGAAATTAACAATGTCATCAATGTAGTACTCATAATTAAAATAAAAATGAAAACAAACTAAATATTCAAGAAAAGGGAGCTAGTTAAAATATGATATATCCATGAGGAGCTCTGGTGACATAGTTGTTAAAGCATTCAGCTGCTAACCAACAGTTTGACAGTTTGAACCTACCAGCCTACTTGAGGGAGAAAGATGAGGCAGTCTCCTTACATAAAGATTTACAGCCCTGGAAATCCTATGAGGCGGTTCTACCTGTCCTATAGGGTCACTATGAGTTGGAATCAACAGTGGATACGATGCATCCATAAAAGCAGAATGCCATGCAAGCAAAATACTGCTGAGGCAGAATATTTTAAAACTTGTTTTAAAGTAACACTTTAATTTTTTTTTTTTTTTTTTTAAAGAAAACTGTAGATAGTGATTACCTCTAGAAATGGAATATACGGCTAATAGCCTCCATGAGCAACTCCCTCCTTTGCCATGAGACCAGAGGAACTGATTGGTGCCTGGCTGCCATTATTGAATATTTGGATCAAAGATTCTATAGAAAAAGGGAGAAAAAGGCAGAACAGAATTTCAAATTCTCATCAGAATCTGGGCTTTCTGGATTCACTGAGGCTGGATGAATTAGACTTTGAGCTTAAAACCAAAACTGGCTCCTGACATCTTCATTGAACCAGGAAATAGTTTGCTTCATCAGTAGGGTACATCCGCTTTGAGCATTGTGCCCTTTTAAAGAATAAACCAGGTGAGATCAAATTGACTGTGTTGTTGTTGTTGTTATGTGCCATCCAGTCGGACCCGACCCATAGCAACCCCTCCTTGGGTTTCCCAGGTGGTATCACTACAGAAGTAGATTGCTGAAAAGTTGGATGGGGACAGTGAGTTTATGTTAATGGAGGGGGGACAAGTAGGAAAAGGAGGGTGAGAATGTTTGCACAACTTGAAGAATATAATCAATGTCACTGAATTGAACATACAGAAATTGTTGAATTGGTATATGTTCTGCTGTCTGTATTGTCAACAATAACAAAAATTAAAATGCATTTTTTTAAAAAAATAGTGATTACTTTTAGATGGGTAGGAGTTTAGTTTTTTAAATTATTTTTCAGTTTTTAAAACTTTCTTTTCAAGATAAGTATGTCTACCTCTGATAGCATAGTGCCTAAGGCACTTGACTGCTAACCAGAAGGCTGGTGGTTCAAACCTACCAGCCACTCCTAGGAAGGAAGATTGGGCAATCTACTTCATAGTGATACCACCTTGGAAACCCAAGGAGAGGTCACTATGAGTTGGATCCGACTCAATGGCACATAACGACAACAATATCTACCTTGAGGCCAGAAGAGCTAGATGGTACCCAACTACCACTTCTGACCATTCTGATCACAATAGGTGGATCCTGATAGAAAGGGAGAGAAACATGAAAGAGAGCTTAAAATTCTCAAAGAATCCAAACTTACTGGGACTTTGAGGCTGGAGGAATCCTCTAGACTACTGCCCTGAGATACTTTTTAAACCTTGCACTGAAACTATACTCTGAAATCACCTTCTAACTAAATAGTAGATTAGCTCAATAAGTAAAGGATGTCACCTTTGAGTGACATGCTATTTTAAAAAACTATCTGTATGGGAACAAATGAACAGCAGTTACTCTAAAACATAGATGAGAATGTTTGGGCACAGTGAGACTAAGTTAATGGGAACAGAACAACTAGAATGAAAATAATGAGAATGTTGACACATTATGAAGAATATAACCAATATCACTGAACAATATATGTAGAAATTATTGATTGGGAACCTATTTTGCCATGGATACTTTCATCAAAAATACAATAAAACATTAAAAATAAAATAAAAAACCTATATTCTAGTTGAGAAAATGATTGTATACTTATTACTATTGTAATAAGAAAAAAATGTTTTAAATATGATTTTAAACCTCTTCATGAGACTCCCATTAACCTAATACCATCAACCCTATAGGGTCACTATGAGCTGAAATCAACTCAACGGCAATGGGTTTTTCATGAGATCAAGACGAGCTTTTTAAGCCATGGGCAAGTCCATGGAATCACAAAGAAATGGACAATGAGTGAATTACCTGGGTGGAAAAACAACATAAAGAGAAAAGGTGTCTGAACTGGGAGGGGAGAATGTACCCAGTATTGCTCTGTGTGACCCTGAACCAGTCCTTTTTCCCTTCTGAGAGTTTCTCCAGCTGTATATCCAAGAGAGGAGCTTGGGTGGTGTAGTAGTTAAAGTATTTGGATGCTAACCAAAAGGTGGGTGGTTGGAACCCATCAGCCGTCATTCTTCGGGAGACAGATGAGGGCCTCTAGCTTCCATAAGGGAGCTCTGGTAGCATAGTGGCTAAAGCACTTGACTGCTAACCAGAAGGCCGGCGGTTCAAACCCACCAGCCACTCCTCGGAAGGAAGGTTGGGCAATCCTACTTCCGTAGTGATACTGC